TAAGTCGATATACAAGTAATTCAAGCACTGATCATTGGAAGGCTATTGTTAGAGTTTTAGGGTATTTAAAACATACCGAAAATTTTGGATTGCACTATTCGAGATATCCAGCAGTACTTGAAGGATACTGTGATGAAAATTGGATATCAGATACTAAATACTCCAAATCAACAAGTGGATATGTCTTTACACTTGGAGGTGCTGCAATATCATGGAAATCTTCAAAACAGACATGTATAGCCAGATCAACAATGGAACCTGAATTCATTGTATTAGATAAAGCCGGAGAAGGAGCCGAATGGCTACGAAACTTTCTAGAAGATATTTCATGTTGGACAAAACCTGTGCCTGCTATTTGTATCCATTGCGATAGTCAATCAGCAATTGGTAGGGCACAAAATGCAATGTACAACAGTAAATTTCGACATATACGTCGTAGACACAATACTGTTAGACAATTGCTCTCTACAGGTATTATCTCTATAGAGTATGTGAAATCAAAAGAGAATATTGCGGATCCGGTAACTAAAAGTTTAACAAGAGAGCAAGTCGAAAGTTCATTGAAGGGAATGAGATTAAAACTAATAATATAATCAAAAGTTTTCATGGTGGCAACCCAACCTAGTTGACTGGAGATCCCAAGATCTAGGTTCAATGGGACAACCGAACTGTGAAAAACTTAGTATGCACTGAGAAGATTTTACTTCTACCCATTCCTATGATGAGTCAGTGCCCAATTGCCACGAAATAGGTTAATATACGCTTTTAATGATTTCTATATCTTGATTCGTTCAAGTAGAGTATAGCAGAATACTCTTTATGGAAATCACCTATATGAGTGAGAAGGGGCCGCTTCTAAGAGAATTAGGTGAAGATGAATTCTCTAAAAACCACTCATGAACCAGGAGGTGTCCAAGGCCAAAATGGACACAAACGTGAAAAACAACTGTGTTCGAAGAAAATTGTGTGACTTTTATTGTTTAGGTTTCTATAAACGGCTGACTGTTCAAAACAACTTGCTACTGATTGGCTAAGGAAATCCGATAGATTTTACTAGAGAAAGTTCAAAGTTATTGACTACTTATCCCGATGTAGTCTTCTTCAATTTTTTCTTTGAAAAACATATCAGATGTTATCGTTTGGAATAAGGCCAACATATTTCATTCATGTAGGGGATTGTTGGAAAAAATGGTTATGAAATGAGTCAACTTTGAGCCCAAATTTCAGTGGGACCCACCTTTTAATTAATACGGGACCTAGCATATTCACGTTCTACTCCGTGAGATGATTAACGTGATATATTTATTTATCGAAAATCATTTAAATTGAATGAAATATTAGGTGTTAAAGTAACTCATATAAACTAAGTATTATGGAAGAATTTGATTTTCCAAACACTTATCCCACATAGGAAAGTTAGGAAACTTTGGTGTGGTTTGTAAGGTGGAAGTTTGGAATTGGGTTTGGGTCCCAAAGGGTACCGATAGTCTTTGGAAGGGAGAAGACTTATATCCTATTGGGTTCAGTCATAAACCCACACGCGCGCTCCACCACCACCGTCCGGCCGGCCAGCACGGCACGAGCACGTGTCCGAGTCCAGTCCGGTTCGGTTCGGTTCGGTTCGGTGTGGGTGTGGGTGGACCTTTGCACTATATTAACTTTTTGGACAAAATTTATTTAAAATTTTGGGTCAAATTGTAAATAATCAAATTTTTGGATACATTATGAAATTTAAATTTTGGCTTATTTCGAGTGTTTTATTTTCTTTTAACAGTCATCTATTTACCGACCAAACAGTCGACTGTTGGCCGACTATTAACCAACTTAACAGACGCGACTTTTAAAAACAGCATGTCTGTTTGGATTTTGAGGTTTGTCTGAAAAGCGATAACTGTTCAAACGGCCATGAACAAGTCTATAAATAGCCAGCCTCTCTCTCAAAAAATTTATACCATTTTCATTACAAACTTTCTGTGCTTTGAATCTCATTTTCTTCTCTCTCGTTCTGATATTGTCTCAAAGTAAAATACACTTCGTTGAGTTCGTTGGAACTCCTGCAGATTGCAGTGCTGCTTCTGTAGGAGACGAAAATTCGTTCTATTCTGGGAAACGATTGCTGGACGCCTTTAACACCATTGAAGGCAGCAAATTCGTTTTAAGGAAACATCGTGAAGTCGGTGGGCTCAGATTAATTTTTACATCCTGTTGATCAATTCTTTACATTCAGATGATTCTGTCGAATTGATTTCGAAGGAGTAACGTCAAACTCTAGAAGCAACAATTTCATCATTTGTAACAGTGGGTAAAGTCAAAAAAATAGCCAAGTAAGTTTTCCCCCAGAGCTTGGCTCCTACTATTGTTTTCCAGTGAAAAATAGGATTCTGACTCACAATGTTTGGCAAATATATCCATTTTTGTTGAAGAATGACCAAATAATACACACCGAATTGCTTGACAGTCTAGTTTGTCACGGCAAATTACCTTCTGATGCACTTAAATGAGCACAACAAATACCCTGCAAATGAGATGTATTAGGCTTGTGATTTATTACGACTTCCAATGGAAACTTGAAATCAAGAATACGACAAGACAGGCAATTAATCAAATAATTTGCAGTTTGAACTCCATGAGACAAAACTTAATTCTTTGGAACATTTATCTGGAACATAAGAGTCCTATTAGTTTCAAGAATATATCTATTTTCTTATTCTGCTTTACATTATTGACGGTGCTTGTTCTTCCTCAAAACTTGCTCTCTCTCTCTCTCTCAGACCTTTTCTTCTCTAAACCAAAAAACGCCAGTTCAACCTGGAAAAGATCTGTAGGCACTGCAAGTGTGCATTTATTGGTATAGATCATCCAATTAGACTGCTTTCTTTCCGAAGATGTTACATTGTTTAGATAGAGGAACTTAATTATACTACAACACTTGCAATGAGAAATTTTCTCATGAAAGACGGGTTATTAAGTAAAGAAATACATAAACTATTTAGTGACATAGCTTGCTATAAACCAAAGCTTGGATTTTGGGCAATATTGGATTTTGGAAAAACAGCTACGCCCCAGCTTGTCTGATTATCGTCGATCAATTTTGGATATCAAATGAAGCTCCCACATTGCATAAGCTTCCATTTAGAGAAGTCTTATAAAGCAACTTCAGCAACACATATAACGTCTTCCTGTGTTTTGTTTTTTTTTTTTTTTTTTTTTTAATTTTTTTTTCCCATAAAGTTTTAAACTTGCTCTAAAGATTGGAGAAGCAAATACCCGCACTCAAGATTCTTGGGTGCTAGGACCAGAAGACATTAGGCAACTCATATATATGACCATCCTGATAATATTAGGTCTTGAGAAGTTATTTCTCATATGCTGTCCAGTCACACGCTGTGAAAAATGCTAGAGATTTGGACAGCTGTCTATAGGAGTGTAAACGGTCTGATTTTACCGATTTTTGACAAATTTTCAAACAAAATCGTTTAAATCGGTTTGAGAAAAATTCAAATCTAAACCAAACCATTTTGAACGGTTTGAAAATAATTCAAACCTAAACCTAACGGTTTGGTCCGATTTTAAACTGTCGATTTCGCCATATATTTTTTTGCTTGTCTACTTTTATGTTATTATTTCATTAAATTCAATATATATTTATATTTTACTAACAATAAATTTAAAACAAACCAAGCTCCTGTTTGAACCAAATTTTTGGGACAAAAAAATCAGAATTTTGACCGTTATCCTATAAGTTTAGCCGCCTTAATTGACTTGCTATTTTATGTGTGGGACCCAGTCTCTTCTCCAATAATCAATTTTCTTATTATGATAATATGGAAAATGTGGTTCAAACAGGAGGCTAAATATATTTACTATAAATTTGAATACCAACTAAATCAAAGTGAAATCACAATAAACTAAAATAGAGTTTTTTTCATTTTTGTTCACCTTTTTAAGGTTAATGACGATATAATAACATTATAATACAAATCTACTAAACTAGATATAAGGCCCAAAAAACATAATGATGTTCAACAAAATCTCGTGATCATCATATCTGAAAAAAGATACTATAGACAGAGAATAACTAACCACAATAATAAAGCAATTGTTTATAATATCTAAATATAACAATTACACAAGTTTACATTTGTATGATGTTATGAAACTCATTTAATTTCAGATTCTTACATTAGTTTGCTCCAAAAAAATTATTGATCTGAAACTTTATTTGTAGCAAATATTATCACCGAATGTCTAGGATCTCTTTGTTTCCGATTTGATTTAATGGGCTTCAATTCAACTTTGAAAGAGCGTGAAAAATCTGAAAAAGAAGTGTGGTGCTGGTGGCTCAAGACCGTGTTGGGTGTCGACTGGAGTTTATCTAAATTCTAAAAAGGAAAATGACTTTTGATAAATTATGTTTTTCTTGAGATTATTAAATATAAATTAGGATTATTGTATAATAATAATAATAATAATAATAATAATATATTTGTATTAGAAAATTAGAAATTGACAAAAATACTCACAAATGACAAAACTATTGAATTTTACATATTTGGATGAATTTTCAAAAAAAATCATTTTTTCATTTTTTTTTAATATTTTTCCCCCTGTCCGGTTTGGTTTTAAACCGCAATTAAAATTCTCAAACTGAAACCAAATCATTTTGACCGGTTTTGGTTTGGTTCAAAACCATTTCGTTGATTGGGTCCACGTGGCACCAGATCGATGGTTTCTAAAATACGATTTTGATTTGATCTTTCGATTTGACTATTTTTGCTTACAATCCTAGTTGTCTAGCTATTCTTGAATAATGTCATGTTTAGAAAAGATGAGAGACAACACTAGAGCATTCAATAAGAAAAAGAAGTTAAAGCCTTGTTATTTTTTATTGTCAAGTCGAGTCTCATCCTGCATATAAAATACTACTAAGAAGAAATGAGATTGACATGAATAAATCAAGGGGAAAACGGCACGATATGGATCTGCTACACCCTTTTTAAACTCTAGCCTTAACATGAGTACTTGATTGGAAGATATGGGCTCAAAAAATTCTAGTTCTTGCTGTAAGCTGGATCATAACTAACGAAGTTCATAATTTACACTCGGCTAACTAAATACACTGTTACAAGGTAATGCCCCTTGAACCAAGAATGGTGCTATAAATCTGCAGTTTAACAGATTTCAACATTTCTATTTCTGCTCAGGTTTTCCTATGCAATACAGAGGTGGCTACAGATATTCTATTCGTATTACCAATCTACAAAATTTTCGGACCAAAGGAAGAAATGAAGAAAAGTTATGAGTCAGTTTCTATGATTAGTTCAGCGGCCGAGGCCATGGTACGGACTCCACCAACTCCAAGCAAAGCAAGCGCCAGCTTCTTCTCGTTCCACCGCCTCATCCCCTGGCTTAGTCTTGTCAACACCTCGACATCCACCTCAGATACCCATTCCGGTGTGCATCTGACTATCAAGCTCAAGAAACAGGAGACGTATGCACGCCAAGTGGCCGGATCACAACCAAGTGATATCTGTCCATCAACGGCATTAGCCATAAATTTCATGTGGCATCCAAGAGCTATTGGACGATGTCTCGAAGCTGTTGATGACGAGTTCACACCCCAGATAAACATTCCAGAAAGCCCGGCTAAATATGCTAGCGCATACCCTTCGAGCATCGGAAAGATTCCACTTGACTCCCCTTGTTGCTCGTACTGATGAAAGGACATAAACCAAGAGGGAAGAGTTTCCTTTATTAACGACTGCAAGAGCCCCGGGCCGCCGCTTAGGAAAATTAATGTAGCCCCCAAAGAAGCTGCTAGTTTCACTTTAATTATAGCTACAGCAAGTGAGAAGTGCCCATAGTTCATTCCATTTTTTGCTTTCTTCAGCTCTCCAAACCTGGCAATGTCTTTCACAGTGTGCATCAATATTGTAATAATCTCCTCTCTTAAAAACATAATGTCCCTAATTGATCGGTAAATACGTAGATACAGAATCCCTGGTGCAACCGGAGAGATTCCACCTTTAAACTGGGATCCAAATCCATGGCCTAGAAGAGCTCCAATGCCACCATTGCATGAGATGCAGGTACTGCTCAAACCCAGGGTGGAACTGAAGCAGCTTCTAAGAAGCTGAATTACAGCATCATTGTTGTGGAGGAAGACAGTACGAGAGGCTGAAAAAAGGAGGAAGTCACTCCAACGTTTCACTTTTTGGGTCCACAAGGAAGCAACTATCGGCATGCATGGCCATGGGCAACCTGCTGCAAGTGACTCCAAAGCTGGGCCCGCCAGATCAAGGAAACGCAGCGAGGATTTATCAAGTTTATAGGTTATTGTGAGGCTGACAAATGCAGCCAACGGTAATGGAAGCACAGCCGGAGAACTCTCTCCTACGGAAAGATAAGTTTTGAAAAAAATGAAGTATTAGAATAAAAGAAAATAATGAAATGGAGATTACAGGTTAGAAACTAGAAGTAAAAAGACAAAGCATCTCTAACATTTAAATTTGACTACATATATGTTCCTTGCATGCCCTTCCAAGGATGCACAAAATCATTTTTGTCAAAGTAAATTGTTTATAGCAAAATACCTCAGAGCAGGTTTGACTAGGCATAAAACAATGTAAAAGTTTTATTTAAGTATTTGTTTCCATGGATATGTTACTTCAAATTTTACTTGTGTTGAAAGTTCTTAACCTTATTGTCAAAATATGGAACTTACTGATCTTCAACCTTAAACAACCAGGTTAAGCTTTTATGGGCATGCGTGATTCTTAAAATAAAAGAACAGACCTATAGCAAGACTGGGGACATCAATACCAGTAGCAGCTAGTATTTTCTTTATCTGTTCCTCAATGTTGGAGAGATTCGCAGTGGGACTGGGCCAATCTGTTCCATTCATAGAAACTGATTTCCAAACACCACGAGTTACTTCAGCCGAAAAATAACTTACAATGGTTGCCAAAGTAGCTGGAAGATAATCAGCCAAATCTTTTAGCCCTATAATAAAACAATGTTAAAAAGATAAGCAGAAGACTACTAGCATATTGTTCGCTCCAAGCAACTATATCAAGCATATACGCGATTCTCCTTCCATCAACATCAACTTAACCATATGGATGACATTGTTTGAGCCATGAAATGGATCAAATATCTTAAAGAAGTCCTCCAGCATGCACATCAAACTAACCTGTGCAGAGTTCGCGGGGAGACAATTTTCCATGGGCACATGCTGTTAAAGCAGCATCTGCCACAAACGGAACAGCTTCAAGAATATCCCAAGCAGGTAATTTAGGCCTTAAATTGTCTTCAATTCCAACTCCAGAAGAACTGCTGCTTCCCGATGAAATTGAAATCACAGATGGGCTTCCTCTATTGATTTTTCTGAACATCATGTTGAGCAATGCATTGACTGTTTGATGGACTGGAGTCCCATTGACAAGACCAGAGAGGGGTGAAGCAATGCATGCCAAATGTTGTCTGTACCATGCTTTAAGTTTTGGAAACGAGTCAACAAATATAGATTCAGGAGATGAAAAACTTGCAACTCTTGCAAGTCTCCTTCTATTCGGATCCTTGATTACATTTTCAGGAGATACAACGTGGGAATTTCGCACAAATAAGAGGTATTCGGGAGTGAGTTGAGATCCAACTGGAGGTACGTCACCAATTCCATGTTCAACAGGAGGATGATTAAACCGCCAAAGTTTTAGAAGAAGAGCAAATGCATTCGAAAACACAGCATGGGCAGATATCTCTTCTCCCGTTGTCAGAGTCCGTGAGATGTTAGGAACACGCGACCCATACACCTCGCAAATTGTCATCAATGAACCAGCAAGCTGTGGAACCTGGAAAAGGTTAACCATAATGGTATAAACTTTCCAGTAAGGTGATGATGTTTTCCTATTCCTCTTATTTTTCATCTCAGAAACTCATGGCTTATATGTGTGAAAAACCAAAGATAAGTAATGGCTTCTCTTCAAATTTCATTAATCAAAGAAAAGGGACTAGAGAAAAAAATATTATAAATAACTTGTCATCTCTTAGGACCTATTTTTTGTGACACTTCAAATTTATCACTGCAAGCATCTCTAAACCATTAAATAAATAAACCAAATGAATTCAAGAACAACCACTTGTTTTATGAGAAAGATTGTCTTATAATTTGAATTTCCATACACTGGACCAATGAATACACAGGGTCGCCTCAGTAATCCAAGAACTGAGCTACAAGTTTGAAACCATCTTTCTCGTGCCTATGAAAGAAATTAATAATATATTTCGCTTGGTAAAAGTGAACCTACCAAACCATGTAGTGAGAAAATCTGGACACAGTCAACAGGTGCTATCCCAACAAGAAGTACGTTCAGCATGGGAGCATAACGTATCAAATCGCTGTCACTCCCAGAATAATCAGCAGGAAATGGTGGAGACAATAATCTAGTTATAAAGTAAACAGTGTGTTCCTGCATGATAATGAGCTAAACATGATTAGATAACTAGGAGATTTTTCCACCAAACGATATAATACATGCAAATTTTATGGAAAAAAAAAATGAATATCTAGTAAAACTAGTTTCAGGAAATGATTTGTCTTAAAGCTAGGTAGAAACTTAACAAAAACTGCTAATAACTTGTTACCTGTATATTCCATCCACGAATCAAGGACGACCCAGTTAGAATCGTGGCAGCAGCTATCCTTTCATCGTCAGATCCTTTGACTGCAATCTCGAAGATTTTCTCGATCTCTGCTAAGCTTCCATGACATCCATGAGCTTAAATTCAGTTCTTCATGAGCTTAAATTCAGTTCTTTACTCTTTTCAAAATCAATAAAAAAAGAGCATCTGATATACCTGGCTTAAGGAAACAAAAAGGTTCAACTGAAAACCAGGCCACAATCTAGTGATACAGAATGGACTTTTATGGTTATAGACAGGAACCTATGCATCTACGGAGTCACTGCTTACAAGTGAAAGTATTCCTAACATTTAGGCTGGCAGCAGAAGCTTTTAATGTTGCCATAATATGTTATATGTTTGTTGGTAGATCTTAAATATGGTTCTCATGGTTGATTATTTGCATTTGTTAGATTAAGTAACCTGGAGATTTATCCAGTAATCCATCACACCCCCACCATTTAGAAATTTGAAAATCGTTGTGCTACAATCTCATAGCTATACATCAAAGCCTCGTAAGTAATATACTCCCCAGTGGACAATGATGCATTGACGCTGGACATAAAATTCCATGATAAAGAAGTAGATTGAGACTGAACTGTAATTATCACAAGAAAAAGTTCACAGATGTTGTTGCATGCATACCTTGAAGCAGGAGTTAAAGCTAAAGCATTGATCATTAATTGAGTAAGAGACGATCCCTTCATGAACGATGACCAACCAGAAGCTTTTAATGCAGCTATAATATGTTATATGTTTGTTAGTAGATCTTAAATATGATTCTCATGGCTGATTATTTGCATTTGTTAGACTGAGTAACCTGGAGATTTATCCAGTAATCCATCAGACCCCCACCATTTAGTATTTTGAAAATCGTTGTGCTACAATCTCATAGCTATACATCAAAGCCTCTTAAGTAATATGCTCCCCAGTGGACAATGATGCATTGACGCTTGACATAAAATTCCATGATAAAGAAGTAGATTGAGACTGAACTGAAATTATCAATAGAAAAAGTTCACTGATGTTGTTGCATGCATACCTTGAAGCAGGAGTTAAAGCTAAAGCATTGGTCATTAATTGAGTAAGAGACGACCCCTTCATGAACGATGACCAACCAGGCATGTGAGTGGGAACATTTTGATGCAGTTTGTTGATACGACCATTTACATAACCCGGCCAGAAATAAGCTGATGTGTCCAATAGATTTCTAGCAATGCATGCTTCAACTATTAAATGATGTAGGTTACCAGCTGCCAAAACAAAAACAAAAACAAAAACAGGAACTAGTTACGTAACAAATGAAGAGCAAAACCCGTGAAACTTCAAATTTCCAGTCTCAAGGCATTTACGTCACCACCAGAAGGAATAATTTGATTTATAGTTCCAGTTTTTATGTTTGTACACAGTGATATGTATAAAAAGTACTCTACAGATCTCTACATCCATCAACCCAAATTGTTTGAAGAATCACGAGGAATTCATAAAGATTTACACATGAAATGATTTACCAATCACAAAAACACTGTTATGCTAGAGTTCCAAATAATCCATCTTCTCAACCCGACTTTTGGCTGCATATTGGTGAATGAGGATCAAATGTCCTTCTCTTTTTATTTGTTATTTCCTTTGTTAAAAAATGGGGAATAGGTATAAGTTTTTACTTAGAAGAATAGAGTTGAGAAGTACTTACAGCAGTTAATTGGCATATCGGCTATATTGACGCACTCAAAGTATGCACTATCGACATGGATGTCTGATGTGAACATCATTGCTTTTGCAGCAGCCTGATTGGCTGCAGTGATAACTGCCTGAGGTGGAGTTAGCAAGCTCTGATAACCACATAGATTCTGTAAACTAAATATCAAATCCATGCGACGCTTCCCAGCAGCTTGATGTTTGCTGACTATACCACAAGCAATCTCGTCAGTCGAAGCAGTTTCCTCTTCCTCAACAAGGTCAGCTACTACAAGAGTCGTGATCGATAATAACATGCACATGCAAGAATCTAGGCGGGGTATAGGTCCCTCAATTGGATCCCTTTCCTGGAATTTGAATGT